CGGCGAAGGGGGTCGGGGCCCTCCTTGCGCGCCTGCACCTCACGTCTCTCCCATCCTAACAGCTGGGACGCCAAGATTCCTGATAACGAAGAATAAGCGGGGTCCTTGAATGCCTCCCCTCCGCACCTAAGGACGCAGCAACCCGTGTCCGTTCGTGAGGGGGGGGGGTGAAGGTTGAGGGGCGAGTCTTCTCAACGGCACCCAACGGAGTTAATTCACATCCACGGCCGAAGCGCAGATTGTGTGACTTGAGAGAATATATACAGCCACGAACGACGCAACTCCCTCGCCTTCCCTCCCCCTCCTAGCACCTTCCAATACCCCCCCCCCTCGGAACGTAGCCAACATGTAAACTCACGATAGTGCGTAGAATTTGCTATGAAAACCACACAAAGTCATGTGTACAGAAACAGATACAGGGGAAAAAGCGCACGCACGCACACACACACACACACACACACACCTCGTAAGCATAAAAAAGTGAACAGGTAAAATAGAGTGGTTCCGTAAGCCTCTAAAAACCCAAACATGCTTTGGTACTTACGGTTCTTCCACTCCACTCCCCTCCCCTCCCATATCCCTACCCCTACCCCGCCCATTCCAATACCCCCTCCTAGAGTCACATCCTCAGAAACGACGTCCTCTCCCTTTAGCCTGTCTACTTGGTGTCAAATACTCAAATGGAAGGGGGAAGAGGGAGGGAGAGAATCCGAAAATATCCACAAATACGCAACTCCGAAACAGAAAAGAAAGACAATATACGAAACACTTAAACCAACAAACAATATAGAAACACATCAAAAACAAAATAACGCAAGACCACCCCCACCCATTGAAAAAAAAAGATCGAAACACGGCCCGCCCCAGCAGACGACGACGATGACGACATCCCCAACGTGGTTCCCCTCATCGGCCGGGCTCGCTGTCGCTCCACGTGGCCCGGCGCGCTGGGGTGAGGCCACACTTGCATCACGTGGAGAGCCGACACACTTGAAACAAGAGAAAACTCCACTCGCGGAAAAGGGGCGAGGGAGTGCGGGACCATAGTGCGTAAGGAGAGGAAGATAAACAAAGGAGAAGAGGGTAGGAGGAGAAAGAAGGTAAATAAAGAGAAGAGAGAATGAGAAGGAAAGAAGGAAGGAAGGAGAGGATAATGGGAGAATGTTTGAAGAAACAAGAAAGAGGAAAAGGAGGAAGCGGAAAAGATATGAAAAATGAGAAGAGAACACGATAATAAATAGAAAAGAAAGCAAGAGAGACGACGAAGGTCGAAGACAAAGACGAGAAAAGAAAAAGGGTCGGAAAAGAAAACCGGAGAAGAACAGGCAGGAGACGGAACTTCTACAGGAATATAACCCTTCCACACAAACACTAGAGAGAGCACCTACGCAGACATGAATCAACAACTCTGGGTATGAGAAGTCGGCACACATTATTTTCTGCGTGTTCAGCCTAGAATGAATGGCATTAAATCGTCCCACCTACTTTGCTCCACGTTTATTGTCAACATAAAAAAGGAACATTGCCCTAGACTACAAACACGGGATAATGTTTTTCTATGGGTTCTCATTTGAATACGTGAAACATAACTGTTCAAGGTGCTCATGATATTTTTTTGGAATGTTGGTCTACTTCCGTTTCCACTCACTTATGTCATGCAAACTGGAACGTAATGCAGCAGTGAAGACTTTCAACTGAACAGATTATGTGACACTTTGACCTCTTTAGCCAAGTTTGTTTATAATCCCTCAAAAGTGACATTTCTGGTATTAAATCACCTCCAGTGAAAGAGGAGGAGACAACAGTGATGATATAGATAGGTAAAGAGAGCAAATACAAGTTCAACAAGTTACTTTCTTACAAAGGCTTGCGCTACTAGCGTCCATGACATTCCCTGGCTGGCAATATGTTTTGAATTACTAAGAAAGCCCACAAATGATACTCTGCACACGTGAATCAATCAGTATGCAAACCTGTTGACAGACGCTCTACTTCAGAGGGAATAGCAACATGTTATCAAAAGGAACTCTGCACATGGCCTCTCTTACATAACTAATCACTGAGACTATCAGTTCACAATATATACCTTAATAGTCAATTCATTAAAACTTTAGAATTCAAGAAGGCAAAGACAAAAAGAAGATTCTTGAAGTGACACAAAGTGTCGGAATCTGACAAAGTATTGGCTGCAAAAATAAGCTAGCACCTTAAAAGGGCAGAATATGAACAACTGAATTAATTTTACTGCATTTGCAAGTCATGAGGATCGACACTCATAACAACTATTTAATTCAACCATCAAGTATTACAAAACCGCACATCAACCACCACACGCAGAAAGACCAGGCCAGCGACAATGAGGTATGGATAGAAGAAACACACTCCCTTACAGCAAAGGAAATCCAACTCCAGACAAGAAACCCCCTCTACCCATCACAGGCTTAGCAATGACCCACGCAGGGAATTATCCACCATGTAACTTTATGCATATCACTGAAAGCACCACTTGTGTACCAATGAGAACCTTCACTTTCCTCTGAGACTCAGAATTCATACCAATACCCTGCCATACCCCATTAATAATTTATGTTGCATGCCATTACCTACCTGGGGGAAAAATTACCATGTGCCAAAGAAGCAACATTTAAAGAGACAAATGTCAAGGTATGAGAAATGCAGTACATTATCATTTTCAACTGATTTATATACTTTACATAAATTACAAATATGAGATGCTGTAAAAATATGTTTAGTGAATCTGCACCTTGCGGCAATCTTAATTTTGAAAACTGACCATATCTTGCATCAATAACATTTATTATACACTATTCAATAGAAACAATGCAAAACCAAAAACCGACGTAACCACTTTACCTATTCAGCAAGTTCATGCAAAATGATTTGAATTCGGAGTTTTCCCCAAGGAGTGCTAAATACATCAGGAACCCACCTGATACATTCTACCTCTGCAGAATATGGCCATGCACAAAATGCCGATAATATTTCCAAGGCTTTCCCTGGCATGCGGGATCACCTCTAATCAAAATATCTATACTAGGACTTACTACCCTCCCTCCCTCCCTATTCCTACCATCACAAAGTTATCTTGGCTTTTTGCATCTCAATAAAGCTCTTATTCTGTACTTGGCAGCTGTCAAACCCAATGCAAATTTATGACTTACCTTCTATTCACTACCTCATCTACATACAAAATACAAACCCTCCTGTGGGGGCATTAATTTCCAAATCACACCTTTTCATCCAGAGCAAAACTATAAAATAAACAAACAAACCCATATAACTGAATACCACATTTGCCTTCTTTGTGACCAATGAGACTGTAAAGCGCGCAGATGTACTGAACCTTCTTACACACTGCAAATCTCCCTGCTAACTGAGCAATGGAATAAAAATACTAGCATCATGCTAAACATACCCATGACTTTGGATTCTTCAGCTTAAAGGAGTTCTTTCATTAACACGCTTATCCTCCAATCTCAAAAGTCTAGGTACTTGACCAACATTCCTAAATACCTTGATGCTTATTGGAATCATCAGCGTTAAAACAAGATATTACCACATCAAAATAACCAATGAACAGGTGCATGACCATGATAGAATGAACATTTTCCCTCAATTCTACCTTATATCAAGTTGCATGCAAGATTCTCACTCAATTTCCTTACCCCCCTCCCCTCTTTCCATTTCAAAACCACCTTATAATTTCTCATTTTCCATCATTTAAAGTAAAAAGGGACAATTAAGACAGACATAGCCCATTCCATGTCCTTTACCATGCCATGCGCCTGCTTAAGATTCATGCAAGTCCTCATTAAGAAGTGAAGCAAATATCTCCCCCTCTCTCTCTATCAACTAATTAATTCCCACGACTATCATTAACATGGTAATTCATCACCAGCTAATAACGCACCCATAACTTATTATAACACAGCTGATGAAACGCAGCAGATGTTAACTCACCCCCTTCTAGAAATAAAAAAAATAAAAAAAATCGAAAAAATCGAAAAACTACATTCAAATAAATCAGCAAACATCGTTACATGTACTCAGTCGACCCCCCTAAAAAAATTCTAATTGAAAAACATTTACATTTCCTAATTAACATAAATTACGCGATTTTCCCCGATGCCTCGAACACACACACACGTGTCTGGCCGCCTCGCCTTCCAGAAATACACACGGTCTTTTTATCCATAATTTTTCCCACAAATTTTACATCCATTTATCAAATTCTTTCGATATCTGAAGTAGAAAAACAATATAATCAAGAGAATTGATACATAATTCCTCTTCCATCTTTTCTAAAATACGTATATTTATTCACTCCCACCACACGAATATGTAATGTCCCTTTAACACATCTTTTTAACATATTCACAGGACATACGATAAAAAATAATGAAGATAACGCGACCTTAACTTCGAAATAGAATAAATGACTAAATAAACCCTCCAAATATCGGTCGAAAAGAGATATTTTTAAGACGTCACATGTTGAAGGGACGGACTCCATGCGTTTCCTGTTCGGGTTATTAATTTACGTTCTATCTTGTGAGTGATGTTTTTCGGTTCATTTTCGGCGCTTTAATCGGGTTTCTTTGAGAATTCCTTTCGAAAAAATGACTATTTTCCTTCCACGAGTTCACTCTTTTCCCTCCCAACAAAGCAGAGATTTCTGAGATCATCGAGAATTGTCATATTACGTCATGTATTTCTACCGTACTGTTTTATTTTCAACGAGATTTTTCCATTCCCGGCGTTCTCTTCCGAATAAAAGTGGCCGTCGTGAGAACCAAACTCGAAGGAGGAAAATAAAGGGAGCGAAATTACATCAATCGCAACTTGGCCTCCTTCAAACCACGTTGGACAATGTAGACGCCATCGTTGCTCTTTTCTCGCGGTTTTTGACCAACTCCCCCCTTGTTTCCGATAAATTTTTCACTCAAATGATCCGCCTGAGGTTTATTAATCGCACTCACCTCGGCCTGCTGTCTGATCTTGTTGTCGACGCTCAATAATCCAGTTAAAAGCTGCTGGAATTGTTCCTGATCGCCCGCCATTTTCGCCGGGACGAGACAGCCGAGCGACCGTTCCAACACTGAGCTCGACTCCTCCACTCCGATGTACTATAAGCTCTCGCTTCCTCTTCTGATTTTCTTCATCCAAGGAAAAAATAACTTTCAAGGATCTGATTTTACAGAATGCCTTAAAATTGAAAAAGTAGTTGGTATTGTTATATGCGGAGAAAAAAGTTAATTTTTTAAGATACTTTCTACAATTCTTTAGATTATGAGACGTTTTCCTTCTCTTTTCCCGCGCTTTTAGGATTTTGAAAAGAGTCCGAGAAGTCGCAGATGTGAAACCCTCGTCCGAAAGACCACGGACTGAGAGACGATCCCACTCGCTAGCGTCTCGACCTGGTTTCAAAGGCGTCCGAGAATTCACGACAGGCAGATCCCCGTCCGAAAAACACCGACCGAGAGACGATCCTGCATCTCGGCCTCTCGGACTAACTCCAGAGTAGTCCGAGAAGTCGCACATGGGGTACCTCCGCCCGAAAACACACGAGCGGGAGACGATCTCAAATACTAGCCTCTCGGATTGTTGACATTCGTATCTCATTCTCCCGCGCTTTTTGGTTTCAAAGGAGTCCGAGAAGTCGCGTTTGAGTGAAATTGCCGTCCGAAAAGGCACACCCGGGAGACGATCCCGCGGTCCGGTCTCTCGGACTGTTGACATTTAGATGGTGTGTTTCGCGCGTAAAATCCCACTTCTTTCGATTTTCCTTTTCGATTTTTCGCCTTTTCGCCATGGATGCTGACGGGGACGCAGGTGAGGAAGCTGGCAAATAAATTAATACATGATCAAGACTTAAGGAAAAAGAGAATTTAAAGGATAAGATTGGTAGAAACTTGAAAAAATGGAGGTAAATATGGGAGGGCTCTAAACCGTGGAGCAAGTTCTGACAAGTGAGATTACGAGTTTTATAATTGCATGAATGAAATATAATTATAACAGACTGTATTTCCATCACAAGTTTCTGTTAAGGCTCTTACTCATACGTGGAAAATGTTGAGAATATAAGGATTGCGGTAAAATCTCACTGCAAATTTAGCGTCCAGGAATTGAGTCTTTCAACATCTTATGAACCTCGTCCTATTTTCTATCAGAAGTGAATTAATTCCATATTGAATAAATTATTTCCTTGTTGAGTCAGTTGTTTCCTTAAGATTGAAAGTTACCAGTAGAAGTTTCCATGGTAAGCGTTTATCTAAATAAAGAAAGTGGTATTTTTATTTTAAGATCTAAAAATGCTTGGAGGCAATTTTTATTTAGAAGAATAGCATTTGTCCGTTTTGGAACAATGGATATAGCAACAAATGTTTTAGCCCATTATTGCCGAGAAAAAAGTGTTTATTCTTACTCAGTTAGAAGCACCCTTTTGCAGACTGACCTGTTATTGGTGACCTAACTTTGTCCATTTTGACATTTCAAATTTTTTTATACTTCCGCATAATGGATTACGACAATTTCGGCATTGTTGGGTTCCTCACCCACTAAAATGCAAGTATGTAGGTTTTATTTTGCAGAATTCCACCCGCCCCACCCCCACTTTCTGGAAAACAATGTTGCTCCCGCTTGGCAGTTGTACACGCTCTCCTACCATGAAACTGTAGAGGATTATTTGTTTTCCTGGGTGGATGTTTTGGCAACCCTCCATGGAGGGTTGTAGGGGGCACAGCCCCTTACATTAGACAATATAGTGACTGATTCTGTGTATATTATTTACATTTTACCCCACAATTTTTCTGGTATCTTTCATGCCCTCCCCTGCTATTGGGGCCAAAATGTGGGGATTTCGAGGATTTCTGCACAGTGATTTCTATATATCTGGACTAGACGGTGAGAGGAATCCAACGATACCAAAATCATTACAATCCATTATGCGGTACTATTAGAAAAAATTACCATATTTATTATTGCAGATGATAGTAATACAAGTATTAATGAAATGCATAAAAGATAGAGTATATCTGTACATCACTAGGATAGGGAAATCTAAGGACATTATCCAAAAGAGGCAAAAATCGGACTACCTTCACAGGACAAATCTCAATAGTGGTATTGACAGATTCTCTTGTTCGATATATACTACCCTTATATAGAAATTAATCCCCCAACACCCACAACCTTGGAACTGGTTGAAGCGGCAGACTTGGGTTGTAACAAGAGAATTATGAGGTAAAGTATGAATCATACTGAGAAGTGGTTGATGTATCCATTTGAAATCTAAGGTGATTTTCAGTGTATTGCCAAAAATCTGAAGTTTACCTTAATAGTAGCACAATGTCAGGCAGTTCCTATGGCAATTGCACTCTGGCAATGGGCAGTAAACCTCCAACTCAAGTTTAAGCTTGGACTTTTTTTTTTTTTTTTTTTATGTGATAATCTTTGTGGGAAAGTAACACTGATAATGAAGTTCAGAAGCCTTTGTGTACAGAAATTATCTTAGGGGTTACAGAACCTTATCCTTCCTTTTCTTCTATTTGTTTTAACTAAGATTCAATTCAGTAGCATTGTTATATTATCATTATTTGAATTCAACTCTTATCATTTTCTAGCATCTCCATCGGCTGCAGAAAGCTTGGCAACCTCTCGTTCCAAGCGATCTCGCAAAGACAAACATGGGCGATTTGCAGCGCTTGAGAAACTACGTGAGCTGAAGGGGTCCAAGCATAAATATGAAGTAAGCAATAGAATGAAGTGCAAAGTGTAATTGGCAATATATAGAATATTTCTTGTCAAAGGATGCATTTATTTCATAATTGATGTAATTCTATTTTCTTTTTATTTCTTTTTACAGTTATACTAATGAATTAATTATTACAACAGATTTTATCTTATGGTTTTCAATATTTTTCATATCAATTTCAAACTGGTAACAGTAACAGTAACAGAGTTTATCATATGGAACCATATCCTTATTGTACTTTCATGGAATTCCAAGACCTGTTTTTTATTCTAGTGGTAATGTAGACAAAGTCGTAGTTATGCTGCTTTTATTTTTATTGTTGATATTTCTTACCATGAATATCACTAGTTTTATATACTGTTCATTTTGCATATGTATCACTAGTGAATTTTGTCTTTATCTAGATTATATTGTTTATTTATTTCCTCATTATTCTTTCCATATCTCACTACCTTTATGCTTAGCAAACTAGATTTATATCCACGATTTAATTCATTGATATTCCTCCTCTGAGTTTCATGCTTACATCTCCAGGTCTCTGAACTAGTAAATGTATATGAGGAAGTTGATGAACGGGAGTACTCTCAGAGACGTCAGGATCGCCTCGAAGATGATTGGATTGTTGATGATGGTGAGTAGGAGTGTTAAACAGAGATTTGACACACACAAAAAAAGAAAGAAAAAGAAAAGTATAAAAGGCATTAATAGATATGATTCACTTTTACAAGATTTCAGTGTTACTAATTTATTGTATCTTAACTATAATGTATGTAATAGTTGCAGATACAATTATTGAAATACCTGTTGCTTGTATTGTCTGGTGATATTGTTAATTCTTATTCATACCTGTTAGTATTGCCTTTTTTTATTATTTTTTTTTAATCTTTGTGATGAAAATGCTTAATACCTTTATTATCTCTGCTGTAAACGAGGTGCACAATTTTTATATTTTGGTTATGTTAGGATATTGTTTTTGCTTATTTTTGGAAATGGGTAACATGAATATTTTGTAAGGAGCATACCAAATGAAAACCCCCTTAATTTTTCCTTCCTATTCCTCCAGATGGTTCAGGCTATGTGGAAGATGGGCGAGAAATATTTGATGACGATGCTGGTGAGGACGATCTTTTTGTTGGCAAGAAGGCGAAGAAAGGTGGAAAACGGAAGGAAGTGGGTGGTAAGGCTTCTTCGGGGTCCGTTGGGAGGCAAGGAGCAGGAAACATTAAAAATATGCTCATCAACATGCCTGCGAAAAAGAAGAGAGCTGAAGTGAGTGGACTTTGTTTATTTTTTAAATTTATTTATTATTATTATTTTTTTTTTTGAGTGATCATTTTTGTTTATCAGGTCTTGCTCTGTATCACAAAAGCCTGTGTAATTGCTTTCCTTTTTCCTATCTTAATTGTCAAAAAGCAAAACTTGTATTATGTTTTTTGTTAAATTATTATTATTATATCTACATATTTAAAGAAATATATTGCATTAAAATCTGTCTTATCTTTTTTTTTTTTTTTTTTTTATCTGTCTATCTCATACCTTTCACCCAACCCACACCTCCCTTCTCTACCCTCTACTCACTTCTACTCTTATTTGAGATACTGTATTTGAGGTTATGCTCTTTGTTCCTTCTCACTCCTTTCTCTTTCCTAATTCTTTTCCCCTCTCTTTATCACCCCTCTTTTCCTTTATGATTTTCCTCCTTTTCCATTTCTCATATCCCACCCTTCACTCCTTACCCCCACAGCCTCTCTCTGCTCCCTCTTTCCTTTTCTTTTCGCTTCACTCTTTTTCCACTACTCTTACCTTACATCTCTTCTATTAGACTCTCCTCAGCCCTTCTTTCCTCCCTTTTTGTCTTTCTGCAGCTTTGCAGCATTCTATCTCTCCTCTCCCTCTCTTCCCGTATTCCTATCCTCACTCCCCTTACTTTCTGTATTCTCTTGTATTTCTTTTTCTTTCTTGTTTTCTTGTATTTTACTTTATCTCTTTTCCCCCTTTTCTTCTCTTTTCTCCATCTATAATATAATTTCTTCTGTAGCTCCTGTTATCTCATCTTTCCTCATTCTTTCCCTTACTTTTGTCTTCCCCCATTTAATATTCTGTTAGATACAAAATTTAAGTCCCATATCTATCATTTCTATGTTTTACCATCAATCTCACAGCTAGCTTGCCCAGTTTCCTTTAGAGAATGATCACATTTCTTTATCCCTTCAGACTAATATCCGCCTGGATGATGATGAATTACTGGGAGATATTCTGCAAGACCTTGATAAGGAGTCTGACACCATTCGACCACCCATGCCAACGCTGCTCAAGAAAAAGGTGCCAAAACCTCCCAGTGCATCACCTGTCAACCCTTTTGCTAGACCACAGGTGACTACCCCAGTGCGAGTGAAGGCCTCACCCAAACCCCTGAAGCCAAGAACCATTTTGGATGAGAATGTAGTCAATGGGGCATCACCGAAGGTATGTTTTTGCATGTTAATTTTTCTTTGGTTTATACTAACTATGATCTACTTTGTTTTGGCTGTTACATAGAGGTGAATGTTGGTCATAAGTCATTATGGCTGTATGATTTTATAGTTCAGGTAATATCATTGATTAGAAATAAAGGACTGCCCAGACTTTGTTAAAAATGTTGGTAATGATACTGTTAAAATTGCTGTTCAGAGTACTACTACTATTACTCATCATTATTGTCATTTTCATTGTCATAGTCAGTCATATTTGCCATTATCTTTATTGTTATCCTCATTATTATAATTGCAATTGTTATTTTGTTGTTGCTGTTTTGTTTAAATGCAGATTTCTTCAACAGGCCAAAAGATCTCTAGAGGTGAAGGAAGAGCCTCTCTCTGAGCAGATTGATGAGTTTGATTCCATGGATGTCATGGATATGGACTTTGATGATGAAGATGTAGAAAATGTAAGTATCATGGTTTTTGATAGTTTCATATATTTTTCTTCTCATTTTTATTTGATAGGAGGAAGACTGAAAGCAAATATGCAGTAACTGCATTTGTCTTTAAAAGGAGAAATGTTTTCATCTTGGTGAATGTTGAAGTTAACAATTATATGATTTCAATTACCAATTGCAGATGGAGGCAATGCTAGTCAATGAAGAGAAAAAAGCTGCAATAAAATTGGAAAAGGAAGAGCCAAAAGAAGAGTTGAAGGAAGTGAAGGAAGAACCACAAGTGAAAGAAGTGAAAGCAGAAGTGAAGACCCAAGTGAATAGAGGATTTACTGCCAAGTGGGTAGAGAAAATTAGATATATTGTTTTTTTAGTGTTGCAAATATTTCCTGCATTATATGTCTTTGAAAATTTCTTCTTTAATCAAAATAATTGGAAGTATAAAAGAGAACTATCTTCTTCAGGCCAAAGGTAGACGTTGCTCAAGTCACAACTGGCTGGGAGACAGTTAAGGATGAAGTAAAAGATGCTAGCATTGTGCAAGATGTCCAGATTGATGCTTCTAAACTACCACTGACCACCAACAGTGAAGGAGAGCAGGTAACTATTATTATTATTATTTTATTATTATTCAGGTTTTTCCCCAGATTTATCTTTTTTTAAAGCTAAGTTCTTGTGATTGAACTTCATGATGGTTTTGTTAGAAAATTTGTGATTAGAAATTTATAACCACTTGCATGAATGATTGTTCAGGTTGTATGATATTTTAGATTGCCTTGATTATATGTATTGCATATTCATAGTGCATTTAGAAGAAATTTTCCATCAGGTTCTCAGATTTTATTGGTTGGATGCCTATGAAGACATATACAAACAACCAGGGACAGTGTACCTGTTTGGTAAGGTTTGGATTGAGTCAGCACAGACCCACACAAGTTGCTGTGTAGCAGTCAAGAACATTGAGAGAAGACTTTATATACTTCCCCGTACAAAGGTAATTCAGTTGGGAGTACATCATTTTAGATTTTATTTATTTTTTATTTATTTATTTACCATCATCATCATCATATCATCAATTATCATTAATCATCATCATATCATCAATTATCATTAATCATCATCATATATTATCATATCATCATCATATCATCACATCATCATCATCAATTATCATTAATCATCATCATCATCAATTATCATTATCATCATCATATCATCAATTATCATCATTCATATCATCATGTATTTTTTTTTTTTCTATTGCTGGTGCTCTATAGGATTCTTGACATATGCTGTATAGACATGCATAAATCTTAGGATGCAGAAGATAAGCAATCAAATTCAAATCACAACTGTATCCACAGCGTATGGACCTCAAAACGAAAGAAGAGTCGGAGGACCCAGTAGGCATGATGGAAGTCTACCAAGAATTTAACTCGACTGTTGTCCAGAAATACAAAATTTTGGAGTTCAAGAGTAAAAAAGCCAAGAAAAATTATGCATTTGAAAAGTTTGATGTGCCCAATACAGCTGATTATTTGGAAGTCCGATATTCTGTAAGTTTTTTTTTTTTTTTTATAGATATAATTACTTTTGTTGTTGTTCTGATTATCATTATCACTATTGATATTAATGTTGTTTTTTATTATCCTTACCAATCTCTTTCCTTTATTACAAAACTGTACTATGATCTCTTTTATGCATCATAAGAAGATAGATATGAAATCTTTACAGGCCAGTCTCCCAGCCCTTCCATCCGATATTTGTGGTGAAACTTTCAGCCATGTGTTTGGTACAAATACCTCCCCCTTAGAAATCTTCCTTTTGGACCGCCGGATTAAAGGACCATGCTGGTTAGATATCAAGTTCCCACAGTTGCCATCACCAGTTGTCTCCTGGTGCAAAGTTGAGGTAAGAATTTATTTTATCATTAGTTTGCATTTTGTTAATTATCTGATATTTTTGTTTTTATTCGTTCTTTAGTATATTTGAAATTACCATCAGGAGCTTTGCATAATTCCCATTCTGAAATGCTTAATGTTTCTTTTGTATATACATATACTAATGCTTTGCAGGCTGTAGCTGTCAAACCGGACCATGTGTCTGTTGTCGCTGGTCTGGTTCCTCCTCCAGTTGTGGTGATGACAATGGGTATGCGAACCACTGTCAACCCCAAGACTCACCAGAATGAGATTGCAATGGTGTCTTGCCTTGTTCATCAAGATTTTCCTCTTGACAAGGCAGCACCACAACCACCCTTCCAGTTACATTTTTGTGGTGAGTTAATGAAGTTCTTCGAGTTTCTTTTTTCCAGTTATTAGGTACAAGAAAATGAAAAACTAAGTGCAGAGATAGTCTTAAAGAAAGAAAGAAAGAAAAAGAACCTGAAAAACGTAACATATTAAAATGATAATTTTTTTTTCTTTTAGCAATGTCACATCCCTCTGATGTCACATGGCCTTGGGACCTGAAGGATGCTTTGCCTAGATACAGGTCAACTAAAATTGAGAAAATGGAAACAGAAAGAGCTCTCCTGGGATTTTTACTGGCCAAGATCCACAAAATTGATCCAGACATTGTGGTTGGTCATGATATTTATGGGTTTGACCTTAATGTCCTGCTTCATCGTGTAAATGCCAACAAGATTCCACACTGGTCCCGTCTTGGTCGTCTGAGGCGTACACAGATGCCAAAATTAACCGTGGGTGTATTTGTATTATTTGATGTAATTTATCTGATATATTTTATTTACTATTTTGGTGAGGTGATAATGACAGATCTAAAGATTCCTTTTTCTTTGTTCTCTTAGTGAGAAAAGCTTTTTTCCTTATTAACAGTTCACTTGTTATGTTTTACAGGGCAGAGGGTTTGCAGAGAGGTCAGCCATGTGTGGTCGTTTGGTATGTGATGTAAAACTTTCTTCAATGGAACTCATAAGAGCCAAAAGTTATGAACTTGCTCCTTTGGTGAATCAAGTTCTACGCATTCCAGAGAGTGAGTGCAAGACTTTGACAGTGGATGAAGTCAAGAAGATGTATGAGTAAGTATTGTTTTTCAAGCAAGTGTGTCAGATTTTCATCTTATTGATAAATGTCTCTTTTTTGTGAATGAAATAATTGGAAATTATGTTGCTTTGACAGGTGGAATGGATATGATCGTAATACCAGTGTCCATACTACAGTTTACTTTCAACTTTTTAAATTTTTCTCAATATTTATATTGATAACTTCTTCAATCCAGATCATCATCATCATTACTCCAGCTTGTAACCATGACAATGCAAGATGCATCATATGTCCTCCGCTTAATGTGTGAGCTGAATGTACTTCCACTGGCACTACAGATAACAAATATTGCTGGTAATATGTTTGTGTAATGTTTCTTTTCTTCACTTGGAGCATTTTGTCTTCTTGATCTTGTAGACTAGATAATTTTTTATACTGGTACATAGATAACTATAGATAGCTAATGATAGAATACAATGTCTTCTTTGTTACGGTATGAAATATAACCCAAAATGCTGAATATTGTTATTTCATTTAGATACATATTTGCATAAATCTATACTAACATGATTAAATATTTATTACTGCAGGAAATGTAATGTCTAGAACTCTACTTGGTGGACGCTCTGAGAGAAATGAGTTCCTCTTGCTACATGCGTTTACTGAGAAGAATTTCATTCCTCCTGACAAGCATTATGGGAAAGCTAATCAAAAGGTATGGTAAAAATGTAAATTTCATGGTCACATGTTTACTTTGTGTGTGTGGGCCTGTCTCTTTTATTTTAAATACCACTGTATCATACATTCTCGAATTACAGGTTGATATAGATGAAGACCATGCTGATGGAGAGGAAACAGGAGGGAAGAGGAACAAAGGGCGTCGGAAACCTGCCTACACTGGTGGTCTGGTGCTGGACCCAAAGAAAGGATTTTATGACAAATTTATTTTGCTCATGGACTTCAACTCTCTGTATCCAAGCATCATTCAAGAGTACAATATCTGCTTTACTACTATGGCTAGGGAATTCAAAGAGGAAAACAAAGAGGTACTTTTGACCATTATAAATTGATGTTAGAAGAGAGCAGGACTTTGTAAAATTATATTTTTACTTTCATGATAATGAAACACATTGAATATGAAGATTCAGTCTCATTCTGTATTCTTGATTCCTGAAGCATCATGAATGAGCAATGTAAAAGTTTTTCAGTAAGTCTTTATATCTTTATATCAGGGAGAGGAAGAGGTCCTGCCAGATTTGCCAGACCCAGAGCTAGAGGCTGGCGTTCTCCCAACAGAAATTCGAAAATTGGTTGAGAGCAGAAGACAAGTAAAACAGCTCATGAAACAGCCAGATATTTCAAATGATTTGAAGTTGCAGGTTTGTTCATTACATTCATATAGATTGTCAATATGATATATATTTGATTTAAATTTGGTTTGATTTAAAATGTTTTGTCTTGCTTGTTCTCTTTGCAGCAGAGATTTCAGTTTTTATTTTTATTGTTATTGTAAATATTTAGTTTGTGTGTGCACATGCTTCATCCTTATTGTTCTTTGGCAACAGTATGACATTCGCCAGAAGGCTCTGAAGTTAACGGCAAACAGTATGTACGGTTGCCTAGGCTTTTCATACTCCAGGTTCTTTGCCCGTCACTTGGCTGCTCTTGTCACAGGTATGTAAAAAAGAAAGATGATGCATGATATTTACTGTTTTGGATTAGATGCAAAATAAGAGTAAATTCCAAACATTTGATTCAGTCTTTTTTAGAATACTGATTGGATTGCATATGAATTAGAAATACTGATTGGATTGTATATAATTTAGCATGTCATGTCTTAGTCATTTATTACTTACAGAAGGTTGAGAAAACAAGACATTTGGTGATTATAGCTAATGAAATTTAATGTTTTTGCCCCAAAGGAAAAGGACGAGAAATTTTATTGCATACCAGAGACCTTGTACGGAAACTGAACTTTGATGTCATTTATGGAGACACTGATTCCATCATGATCAACACTAATTGCACAGATTATGAGCAAGTTCAGAAACTTGGGCATAAAGTAAGTGACCATTAGGGGTAGTCTTAATGTATTGCTATATTAAAAAAACATGTACTGATTTTGCAGTGTGCTGATAGAATTTATTTTTGTTATTGATATACATGCTTTGAACATTGTGGATCTTCATAGGGTACAAAGTTACTTGATTTTATTCTTTGATTTATAAACTAAATTTACACATTTCTTTATAGAACAAAACCGTTTATTTCATTCTTAATTACACAGATTAAATCTGAAGTAAACAAGTTGTATAAGCTCCTTGAACTTGAAGTAGATGGCGTTTTCAAGTACATGCTGCTGCTAAAGAAGAAAAAGTATGCTGCCCTCACAGTTACCAAGCTTCCCAATGGTCAGACATTGGAGGAACAAGAATTGAAGGGTCTTGACATTGTGCGGAGAGATTGGTCTCAACTTGCCTCTGATTGTGGAAGGTGAGAAAATGGGGCAAAAAAAAAAAAAAAAAAAAAAAAAAAAAAAAAAAAAAAATATAATATATATATATATATATATATATATATATATATATATATATATATATATATATATATATATATATATATATATATACTATATATTGGCACACACAGCATATATTAAGTAAAGACAGTGTTAACAGCTAAAGCAGTTGTTCATTTTTATGGTTTATGATTTGCTATCTGAGTATGTAAGAATTATTATAATTTTTTATTTTTGATTTTTTTCAGACATATTGTGCAGCAGATTCTTTCTGACCAGGGACCTGATGAGCGTATAGAGAACATTCATTCACACCTGGAGAAGCTAAAAAATGATCTCAATGACGGAAAGGTATAGCTGCGCAGTTTTTCTAAAAGGGATATAGAAAAAGGCTGACTTTCCTATTTTGTAACATTTTGAAATTGTTTTGTGTAGTGCTTATATAGAAAAGTTTTTGTTAGAACATTCTGTTAACACCAATCTTGGGAAACCCACCACTTTTCAGATTGGGCTGGATTTACTTAGCATCACAAAGTCCTTAACCAAGAACCCAGAAGACTATCCTGATAAGAAAAGTCTTCCTCATGTCCAAGTGGCACTTCGCATGAACTCTCGAGGAGGGAAGAAACTGCGTCAAGGAGATACAGTACAATATGTGATCTGTGAGGTTAGTGAAAGCATGAAGTTCTTTCAGAGCTTGGGGCATATATTGTGCTTGGAGGAAATGGCAGTATAGGAGTAATTGATATGTTAATTTTTCCCTGCATGATTTGTCAAAGAAACATTTGAATATTTGTGGAATGTGCTATTATTTTCTACTAAGGAACCAGTTTGCATAAATGTTATTGGTGGTGTAAACTTTGAATGTATTTTAGTTCTTTTTTATTTATTAAAGATTATCTGATTTTGAATTTTGCTCTGGCATACTTTTAAGAAAATTACATTCAGGTAAACCTGTGTGGTAATAAACATTTGTAAAATTGTTATTCTGAAAAAGTAACAATTATAGAATGTTCTTGTGCCACACATTTTGTTGCCTTAACCAGAGAAGCAAAAAAAAAATTTTCTCATTATTACAGGATGGAAGTAATTTGGCTGCTACGCAAAGAGCTTACCATGTGGATGAGTTAAAAACCAACTCGGCTTTAGTCATAGACAAGAACTACTATTTAGCTCATCAGATACATCCTGTAGTTTCTCGTCTTCTTGACCCCATTGAGGGAACAGATGCAGCTAGAATTGCTGAATGTCTTGGTGAGTAGGCCAGAGCTTGAAAAAAAATATTGAAATAGTTCTGAGAACAATAACCATACATATATAAAGTTCATTCTCTATAAAGTAGGTATTATCTCTGTTTGTATTACTGGTTACTAAAAAAAATTATGAGGCAAATATTTGTACTTGATTCACACTTTGTTTGTAAAAATAATATTTTATATATAAACTGATGTGCTAATTTTCATTGAATTTATTTGTAGGCCTTGATCCATCTGGATATCGAGTTTCAAAGCAGTATGGACATGGTGAAGAAGAGGAAGACATGTCAACAACAGAAATACCAGATGAAGAACGGTATCGCATGTGTGAGAGATTCACTTTCCAGTGTCCTGGGTCAGAGTGCGACACCATCATCACCATGGACTCACCCTTCCGAGGAGTGGTTAGTTTTTATTCTCTTACAATATTTGTTTTGATACTGTCTTATTAATATTGTTTTTTATAGGGCTTTTAATCAGAGAAAGTGGCCTTGGCTAGTATTTATGACAAGGATGATAGTTGTGTGTTTTTCAAGAGCGGAATGGAGTTTTACTAATGGTATTTCCTGTTTTACAGGGAACTGGGATGAATTTAGAGGTGGCTCTGCAAAACTGTCCAAACCCTAAGTGCAATTTCCCAATTTATTCTCGCCTTGCACCTATTATCAACAAGCTGAACTTAGACATAAGAAAACATATCATCAAGTACTACAATGTAAGTGCAGTAGATCTCTTAATCAATGACTTATTTGGTTTACGAAGAATCTATGTATATTTCTGTATTTCAATTTGCTTATCCACTTGATTATTTACATTAGCATGTGAAGCTTCAACAACCGTTATTAACTTGCATGCAAATACAAAAGAATATCTAGTCCCTGATAGTCCACTCCCTTAACCATAGGGCTGGCTGATCTGTGAAGACCCTGGATGCAGCAACAGAACTCGCCGCATTCCCCTACGTTTCTCCCGAGGATTCCCAATCTGCAATGCCTGTGAAAAGGGAGTTCTTTTCAGAGAGGTAAAGAATTTAGGAAGTTGACATTTCATATTATTTATTCAGTTTGAGTTTATGTGTGTTTTTGTCATTTGTAATTTGGTTTGTGGGTAATAAGGTTATTTTTCCCTCCAGTACACAGAGTCTCAGCTGTATAAGCAACTGTGTTTCTACGATTACATCTTTGACTTCCAAAAAGCTTGCCAGAAAAACAAGGATGAAAGTGAGTATTGGGAATGTGCTACAATTTTTTTTGTTTATTTTTTATGTATATTAATATGCATCATATAGTGGCAAGTGTGACTGTTCGTAACAATATTATTGGTAATTTTTTTTTTTTTGTTTTTGTTTACAGGAATTCGTGATGACACACTAAGAAAAGCCTACAACATTCTACAGACTGAAGTCCAGAAGAAGTTGAAGCACAATGCATATTCAGAGGTCAACTTGACCAAGCTGTTTGGAAGCCTCATGGCCAAATCACAGACTAGAGTATCTTGAAAACAAAGAGATAGTAACCAAGAAAATTAATTGTGCAAAAGAAATCTCAGGAAAAAAAGGATCCAAAATTTCAGTAATTAATCATCAACTGTAGCCTTTTATTAGGAAAAGGAAAATGCTGAACAGAGAGAAAAATGGGAGGAGTGTTAGTACTTTAAATGTTTCCTAGGGAAATGTGCATTAGTATTAGGCTGTATAAAAAGATAAAAAACAATTTTTGAGTGAATTTTGTGTGGTAAATAGGTAATAGATTCTTAAAATCTTGAAATCCAATATATGTATTTCATATATTTCTTCCTTTCCTCACCAATCTATATATTATATATCAGGGTTTGCATAGCTTCAGGTTAATATATATTTGCTTTTATTTGCTGAAGTGCAGTTATTATAACATATTGTAAATTGATAATTCCAGTGAGCCAGTTCCATTTGTAATTTGTTTATTCATACCTAGAATATATTCAAACATGATACTATTTTAGAAGCTACTTGAAGCCATTGTAAGCGGTTTAAAATGAAATATTGTAAAAGGGAAATGAAGATAATGATTTTACCATGTGTTGTAAATATTTTATAGATATTATTTAGATAACAAAGATGAAAATATACTTAAGTGTAAACTTCAGAAGTTATTAGATTGAATTTTCAAAAAATAGAAGTTTTATTTCCACCAGTACTTTTGCTGTAATTTGACTTAAAAGATTATATTATGAAAACTAAGATATAAAAGAGAATAGAGAGAAGAAAAAAGCCCATTGCAACACCAAAAATCAATAGATGCAGACCTGGATACAGAACAAGAAATGTATTTTCTGTCTGAGAATGCTAATAGAAATATCCACTGAAATACAGAAGGACTCGTATATATGATGAATGTCAAAGGAAATTCCTTCATAAAAGCTAAATTCTTGACTTTTTTTCCATACAGGTTTGAACAGTTTAGATGCAGACCTGGATACAGAACAAGAAATGTATTTTCTGTCTGAGAATGCTAATAGAAATATCCACTGAAATACAGAAGGACTCGTATATATGATGCATGGACTACGTAAAAGCATTTGATTGGGTAAAACATGACAAACTTTTAGAATTACTAGAAAGGTTAGAGATAGATAGGAAAGATCTTTGATCAATATGGAACTTGGTAGTATAACCAAAGCTGCTATCAGGATTCAGGGAGAATTGGGTGAATGAGTAGATATGCAGAAAGAGGTTTGACAGGGCTGCATTTTATCAGATTTATTTAAACTGTATTGTGGAGAAGCTCTCACTAAAATCAGCACATGCGAAGGTGCCTATCAGGAGAGAACAAATTACAATAACTTAAGATGTGCAAATGATAAAGCATTGGTTGCAGACAGTGAGGAAAGCTTCAGAGACTGCTAGATGTAATAATGGAAAGTAAGAGCATGGTCTGAGAATAAATTGTATGTGATGGTTACCAGCAAAAAGGCAGATTCCAGAATGTCATTGGATGACAAATGGGGAGCAAATAGAGCAAGTGGATAGATTAAAATACTTAACCACATGCCAACAGGGATGGCATGTGTGTATATGTGTGTTTAATTTAGTAATTGTTTTTACATATAGATGTCTCCACAAGTAGTAGGTCATCACTGTGCCAGTTACAGAGAAGTACCTGTCTTGCCTGTTTACCCTTTTATTTGGTTTTCAAAAATGTTTTCTACTATTTAATACTGCTGTTAGTAATATCAATAACAATAATGTAATTATGATGTTGATAAAAATAATTAGTATCAATATTGATAGCTTTAGTAAAAACAGTGTTTTCCCGCAATTTCAAGGAAAGGTGAGGTCGCAAGATTACCAATTGACTCCTTTGTGGCTAAGCACTGGCAGAGCCATCTATGTGCAGAAACATTTACAAAACAATACTAAAGAATTGTCTGGTGGCATTTAGTTAAGCAGATGCATAACAGATGGGAGATCAGATATGGATATTAAATGCAGAATTGGTCCAGCGAGTAAAGCATTTATGGATATGAAGAATGTAACTTGTACAAGGAAGATAGGCTTTGGAATTAGAAAGCATTTGTTCAAGTGTCACATATGGTCAGTCCTGAACGATAAGCAAGAACATGGAGAAAAGGCCTGAAGCAGCAGAGGTGTGGTCTTGGAGAAAAATGATAAGGACGTGGGTAGAAAAGATTATGGATAAAGACATTTTAGACAAGATAGCAATGAGAAGACCGCTTTTGAATACCATCAGCAGAAGGCAATGGGGTTTCATTAAGCATGAATTACGAGGGGGAGGAATAGAGAGGAAGACCATGAAAGTCAAAATGGCAGGGAAAAGGGCAAGAGGAAGAGAAAGATTGAAGATGTTAGACTGGATGATAAAGAAATTGGGTGTCAAAGATGGAAAATAGCTAGGAATGATCTGTTTACTGTATATGATTCCAAGGCACTAGAAGAGGGATGCTGTACTTATGGGTACAAGTAAATCATACCAAACCCAATGGTGTGAATTACCGTGTGATAATACAGTTTTATTTTAATTTTATTTTCAAATGGTGTCAAAAAAATTTAAAGGTCATGTCGGACATATAATGAAAATTACATTGCCATGATTATGATACATAATCGTTCTTAAATCCCATGCCTGTTGTTGCAGGGGGGGGGGGGATGGAGACAGGCAAAATGTTGAGGATCTTACAAACCTTGGACCTCAGCCCTAGACATAACTAATTTTGTGTGGGTTTTCTCTTCCTCTCTTTTCTTTTTCCTTCTCCAATCCCCTCTACTAGCTACTTCTTAAGATGTGAGAACTGTGTTGAAAGGATGAGATGCTGACTTTGTGTCAGTCACAAATGGCCTAGGAGAACCATGGGCCTGGTATCCCCTGTTTAGTTGTCTAGCTCTTACCCCTCAAGTGGACCTTGTAGAGTTAGGCCATTTCTTTCCCCAACACAGTCCAGGCTTACCTTGGCCAGCAATTTAGATATTGTACCTGTTTTAAGGGTAGTGAGGCTTGCTCCTTTATGAACTACTACTGATTTTAATTCTGGTTCCCTGACCCCAGGATATCTTTTGGGCAGGACTCTGAACTACTACCCTCTTCTCATCCCCTACTGTCCACAATGATAATTCACTCAACACCACTCTCTTCCACAAGGTCCCCTCCATCTACTACCCCCACATCTACAAATCCTCTGACTACTTGGTTTTGCCTAGCCAAATGGGATCGATTTTTAAAATCCCCTCTACAGCCCCTTGCTCTTCTAATACTCTTTCAACACTGCCTCCAAAAGAGGTAGGTAAAGGTTCCTTCCGCAGGCTAGGTGCCCCGATTGCTCCTGCCTTGTAACAGTTACAACCCTCACGAACTTCACTGGCAAATCCATTCACATGCTTAACCTCATGCCTCCCTCAATACTTGTATGAGAACTGTCTCCGTATCCCTAGCAGACTGCGGCCCTGTCTGCGCTAAAAATTGCTTAGAATGGAGAAGACTTACTCGGCTATGATGTAACATCAATACCATACTATACCATTCCCCTTAGAGGCCACAGTAAGTCCCACCAATATTGCAAAGATTTCTTTCGGTAGACATGACCCCCGTGATATTTATATTGGCGGAGAGTCCCTGTCCCTGTCCGACCATATCAATCTTCCCCTGTCAAAGTAAAAATTATTGGCGTCTAGGCCACCCTACCAAACAATGCCGCTCCACAGCTCGAAGTCCTTTATGTGCCCAATCTGGTCATGATCAATCAAACTTCTCTGCACAATCACGCACGTGTGCCAATTGTGGTGCCTCGCATGATGTATTTTATAGTTGATGGCCGAACTACAAGTTTAGGCCAGAAGTGGCAATTCTCAAATTCAAATTTGGTCTCAACAAACATGAGGACATGCGTGAAGCATGCACACGAGTTTATTTTTTACTCCCAACTGCAGTGTTACCCTTCGCTCTACCACTTTAAAAACTCTGGAGGACATTCAAAACTATCCAGTCATAACCCATGATAACATGCCTACACCTCATCAATTCCCCAATCTCGCTGCTCCCATTCCCTGCCAACATTCATTCTCCTCCTCATGTTCCCCTTTTACACCCCTTCCTCTCACCCTATCCTAAAACTTCCCCTTCTTCCCTGCTTCATCTATGTCATCCCTCTTCCTTCCCTGCTATCCCTTCTACTTATACCCTCTACTATTCAGAACGGCTATATGACTTGACGCGTACCACATTTAATCATTAACTGACCACTTACCCTTTCACTACAACCATTTTCTATAGTGCTATAGATGACATTTGATGTCTTGGACATTCGTTTTGCTTTGGAACCATTAGACAGTTAAGTATTATTAATCTTAAATGCTTGATTGATAGTATTTTTTTCATTTTTTGTTAGCCTATATGGATGCTGCAATTATAATTGCAGATAAATGATACCGAACATAAAGGTCTGCCACCGTTTGATATTAATACAGCTTAGATTATTTTCTTTAAAAATTGGTGTAAAAAAGAATAAGAATAAAACAAAAATGAGATGATGGCTGTCAGCTGATGAGTATTGCATTATCATACATTATCGAAATGACTAAAGACGGGCGAATTTGTTTTCCAAATTAAACTGACTTTGACAAATCTCTGATTTGGAAAATATAAAGTTATTTTCGTTTGTTCTGTAATGTTATTATAGCATGCCTGTTCTGAATTTTACATAACGCAATTCTTCTTAAATTTACCCAAAGATTACCATTCAACTATTAATTGAATTACCACAAATTCGTACAGCATATAAAAGGATGTTTTATGGTAGTATCAACCACAAATCCTTTTATTAGAATGAACACGTTGGCCCAACCTCTGTATCATTTCCGTAGTGTAGTGGTTATCACGTGCGCTTCACACGCGCAAGGTCCCCGGTTCGATCCCGGGCGGAAACAATCAAGACATTTTACAACAAAAATGCATTAATTTTCAAAAATACAATTTTATGCCGTCATGCAGTAGCCGTTTCCCTCGCGTCTTTCCATCATAATAGCTGTCAGGTGTCAAAATACGAAAACAGAAGGAAATATCAGAGTTCCGCGTTACAAAAAGCAGTATAATATAGCTCGTTCACTCTGGTATCCTGAAGAACTAACCGGTCAACTGAAGCAGCAACTGTGTAGTAGTATCAATAGTAGTATCAATAAAAAATCCTCTTGGTAGATGAAACACGTAGACCTTTATTGGGCATCGTTCCCGTCGTGTAGTGGATATTATCACTTATTTCATATTGTATATTTCCTGATAGGAAGAAAAGTAACTAAAGCAACTTATTTAATAGCAATTAGAATAAAGAATTCCCTTTGAATAGCAATGAAATAAGTTTCACTATTTTACGTATTCTCGTAGTGTAATGATTATCACGTGCGCTTCACACGCGGAAGGTCCCCGGTTCGACCCCGGGCAGAAACAAGCCTCATCCATTTTGCAACAAAAATGCATTGATTTTCCCAAATGCAATTTGATGCCGACATGCATTAGCCGTTTCCCTCATGTATTTCCGTCATAATAACT